CATCCTCATTAAAACACCTCCCTCATTTAATCCAAACAGACCATTTCCATAGTGCATTGTTTCCTTTTGTTAATTAATTGATTTTTCTGTGGCAATAATAACATCCAGATGTCATGGAGAAATTATATGGGACAGCATTTTGCTGGGTAGAGCCTGCACAAAACTTACATGTGAGGTCAGTCCCGAGTTTGCCTGGGACTGACAACTGCCTGGTGTTCTTAACGCAGGATAGAAAGCGAGAAAGAGCCTTTAAGGTTGTGTTCCCATTTGAGGGCCAAATCTACAAACTGAATTAACCACTTGCCAACTAAGGTCCGTATAGTTAAAGCTATAGTTTTCCCAGTAGTGATGTATGGAAGTGAGAGCTGGACCATAAAGAAGGCTGATCGCCGAAGAATCGGTGCTTTTGAATTATGGTGCTGGAGGAGACTTTTGAGAGTCCCATGGACTGCAAGAAGATGAAACCTCTCCATTCTGAAGGAAATCAGCCCTGAGTGCTCACTGGAAGGACAGATTGTGAAGCTGAGGCTCCAGTACTTTGGCCACCTCATGAGAAGAGAAGACTCCCTGGAAAAGACCCTGATGTTGGGAAAGATTGAGGGCACAAGGAGAAGGGGACGACAGAGGATGAGATGGTTGGACAGTGTTCTCGAGGCTACAAACATGAGTTTGACCAAACTGCGAAAGGCAGTGGAAGACAGGAGGGCCTGGCGTGCTCTGGTCCATGGGGTCACGAAGAGTCGGACATGACTAAACGACTAAACAACAACAAACTGAAACAGCAGGGGGAGAGTGTATTCTTGCTCTGGGGCTTGAGGGTTTCCTTCAGGCATATTGGTGGCTGCTGTGAGAACTGGATGGTGGTCTTGTTGGACCACTGGCCTGATCCAAAGTGAAGTAATGTTCTTCACTTTGCCACCTTCACTTTGAAGAAAAGGCATCCCTGCATGGCTCCAATCTAACACCAATGGTCCCAATTTCAAACAGGGGCCCACAATGGCTTCTTGCCTCCTTCCAGGTGCTTTGACTTTTAAAATGCCATTTATTACAAAGAGAACAGTTGGGGGAAATAAACTTTTGTGTGTTTGCATGCATGCTCAATGGGAAACCAATGTGGAGCCATGGCGTAGAGCAGAAGTGTAGTGATGCTGTGCACTGGTCTTTGGTAGCCAAACAAATAAATTGGTTTCAGTGGACGAAATAAAATAATATTTTAAGCTGCCTATTAGAAAGGAAAGGTTCTACAAAATACAACAAATACAAGAATGTTTTTGCTTCCTGCAGCAAAAACCTTTTTTAAAAAAACTTGCAAAAACATTAGTGGAGACAGATAAACTGTCCACATATTATCTCCTTTTTTTTGGGAAAATGAATATAAAATTGCTAGAGCTTTTTAACACCTTGATAAAAGGATCTTCTGTTTGGACTCATCTGGAATATCTTATAAGAACCCATTTATTATGCTGACATGCTCTCCATCTCTTATATAATGCCACTTTTGCCAGTGATGGCCAAGTCCAAGAAGAACATTTTCATTTTTGTATTCACAAAAGATGTTTCTACTTTACCCAGGAGAGCTTATTGCTACCTTTGGTACACTGAAATATGTCATCATTAGCCTCAATGTGTTATTTGGTAAAAAGAGAAACACTGTGCATTTGCGAACATTAATTGGAGTTGTTTCAGATTAATCTTAATTATTTCCACACTTAACCTGTTTTCTGCAATTTTCATCCTTGTTTTCCCAGGCTTTCACATTTTGGTTGGTCTGCTTCTGGTTAGTCTGACATTCTTTTTATGCTTCATTTATAGATTATCAGAGCAATTCTACCGTCACGAGAGGGAGTGGTTATGGAAGACAAACCACACAAAAAGGTGGGAAAATCTAGAAGAACATTATGCAAGGCAGACATTTATTTTTTGTTTAGCTAGGGGCTGGGAAGGGGGGGATCTCCAAACTCTTCATCAGAAAAAAAAAGTCTTCTGATAAATTTTGACTCAGCTCTGGAGTGAACCTTTTACAAGGCTCGGACCTTTGGCAAGAGTGCTCCTGGATAATATCACACCACACTAAATTCTATATATTAAGGGATTTTATAATACCTTTAATTCCACTTCCCAATAACTGCAAACAAGCAATACCTTGGCAGCACTATAGACCCCCAGGGGAAGCAAGCCCTTTCCCCAACCAAACACACAAAGGTTTAGAGCATTCCAGAAGCACATTCCAAACGAGCCTTTCCAAATTCATACTGAACGATTATTTAGGATAATGAATGCAAGATTCACATAACCAACCTATTCCAGGGCAGAGGGGAGAAGAAATGGGCGTAATCCTTAAGTCTTCTTCCATAATGAAAATGAGGCCTGAGTACAACACCAAATACATATGTCTATCACATATAAAAATACCAAGCTGTGTGGGACTCATTCCACAGCAGTGCTCTCCCACATATTCTCTATTGTAACACTGGTACCTTGGGTTACAGACGCTTCAGGTTACAGATGCTTCAGGTTACAGATTCTGCTAACCCAGAAATAGTACCTCGGGTTAAGAACTTTGCTTCAGAACAGAAAGTGTGCCAGTGGGAGGCCCCATTAGCTAAAGTGGTGCTTCAGGTTAAGAACAGTTTCAGGTTAAGAACAGACCTCCAGAACGAATTAAGTTCTTAACCCGAGGTACCACTGTATATGAATTCTAAGGTCTTATACATAAAAATCACATGTTAATAAATTTACAAGGCAAACACATACATAAGTATATAAACTACGTGTCTGAAATAGGACAGGAGAGCAATCCTGAAACCATTTTGACTCTCCCAAATTGACCTCAAATATTTCTCTGCAAGGAGGAAGGAAATGGGAAAGCCTCTTCATTGACTTTTGCTTACCTGTCTTAAGGGCGTATGTGTGTATGAACAGGGTGAGCCTGAGACCTGGATTCAGGAATTAAAGCATTTATCATCACAAAAGAATGGCTGGGTTGCGAGATAGAGCAATGATTGACCATTGTCAGGTTTCCTGGAAGACAGGATTTCTGTAGTAGACCGCCCCCCGTGATGTATTTCCGCTACAGACCACCTCCTTCTGTGATGTATGTAGGATGTTTTGGGGGTTGATCTTGAGCTACAGGGTAGGAAATTTCAAAAGTCTATATAAGAGCTTACACACCATTGTTCTGGGTTCCTCTCCTCCCTCCCGGCGCGGGGTGAGTAGGGGATGCTGTTGCAACAGTTTCATGCTTACTAGCTGCTTTGCTTCTCAATATTCTCTGGTTGACCTCTGTTATTTTCTCCTACCAACAGAGAACCTACTTAAGGACTCTATACAGGCTCATGGATACCCCATAAGGGAAAGGGAGCAGGTTTTTTCTCTCCTTATAACACTATTGATACAGTAACCACTTAGACCTGATCATTCCAACCAAAAGCTACCCTACCAGGAGAGAGGATAGGAAACTGGAAGAAAATTACTGAATAGGCAATCAGCTCCATTCATATGACTGATTCCAACTGATATCATGACTTCATGGGTGACCTCTTTGGGAAAGTGATTCCCGCACAGGAAGGAGTATGTCTGCATGAGAAGCGGAAGGTGGAAAGGGAAGAGTAGGCAACCTGCATACAATTTGTTTTCTTCTGCTCTGGAGGGTAGGACTGGAACCAATGGCTTCAAGTTACAAAGAAAGGAGATTCCGACTAAACATCAGGAAAAACTTTCTGACAGTAAGAGTTGTTTGACAGTGGAGTGGTCTCCCTCGGGAGGTGATGGACTCTCCTTCCTTGGAGGTTTCTAAGCAGAGATGGATGGCCATCTGTCATGAATGATTTAGCTGAGATTCCTGCATTGCAGAGGGTCAGACTACATGACCCTTGAGGTGCCTTCCAACTCTACAATTCTATGATTCAATTATTGTAACTGTATCCACTGATAGTCATCTGTTGTTATCTTGCCTCTTTCTCCCCCTATATGGGTCCTCACACTGTTGAAATACAGACTGGAGGTGCCTTGGGACAGGGATCCATGCTTTTAGCTTGCAGCCCCGTGTAAAATGATGGTGCTGTAATCATCATTCCCTCTCCACTCCCTGATTCACATTTTATACATTGTTGTCTAAGACACAGAACTAACATAGTTGTTTTCATTTTGGGTTTTTTATCACTGTGCTTCACAACAAAAGCCAGGGTGGCCTGGCAAATGCTGGCAAGAAATTAAGGAAAATGGGCTCAGTAGACCATTGATCTCCCATTCTGTTTTCCTTATTGCTCTTTATCTGATGCTATTCTCTACGAACGGCTCCTTCCTGGCTAAGGGTCATGGAACATTATGTGCCAATCGCAGGCTGGCTTGACACAAGTTGCCCACTCAGCTTGCCTACCTGGAGAACTAATTAGTTCCTGGGTACTAATTAATGACTGCAAAGTGGATTCTAGATGCAATACAAATAAATCATCAGAATGAATCTCTCCGTGAGTGAAATGGGGGTGGGGGGCAGAATGCATCTCTGGCTTCCTTCTATTTTTTTTATTTTTTTTTTATTTTGTAAATAAGAAGAGATCACAAAATAAAGCAGACAGAAACCCCAGCTCTTCTCCCCTCGCCTGGCTCACCGTCTGGAGACCAAGCTGTGCTGCTTCCTCTTGGAGCAGTCTGATTCATGAGAGCTGATCGTCTTTGGTTGCCTCATCGCTGTGACATCGCGAGGCTGCTGTGGTCCCTGCGCACATGGCTTCATTGTCTCGCCGCCTCACAGTGCCATGTAATATGACCGAGGCATGTGATTTCCAAGCACATATAGCATCAGGCTTGACCTTGAAAAGACGTAGAGGCTAAATGCTTCTGAATGCCGCTGACTGAAAGGATGAAGAGAGAATGAACAAATCAACAGGAAATTAAGCAGGCATTTAATGCAGGGTGCTCTCTTTGGCCTGCATTACATTCCCCAAAGGAGAGGCATTAAAAACGTGTGTGAGGGGGAAAGTCTCCCATTAAGTACTGTACTGTGGCATAATTCTCTCTCTCTCTCTCTCTCTCTCTCTCTCTCTCTCACACACACACACACACAGAGAGAGAGAGAGAGAGAGAGAGAGAGAGAAATAGAGCAGTTAAATAAATAAATGTACAATGCTACAGATGAGTGGGTGTGAAACTTTTTCCATCCCAATGGCCACATTCACTTCCAGGCAACTTCCCAAGTGCCACATGCCAGAGGCAAAAATGAGACCAAGCAAGACATTTAAATTTTACCTTTGTACACTAGACTAGTTTCTACACACACTCACAACCCCCTCTCTACACTCCATCCAAACAAAAGGCAATACAGTGGTGCCTCGCAAGACGAAAAGAATCCGTTCTGGGAGTCTCTTCGTCTAGCGGTTTTTTCGTCTTGCGAAGCAAGCCCATTGACGGGATTAGCGGATTAGCGCTAATAGCGCTATTAGCGGCTTTAGCGGCTTTTAGCGGCTTTTAGCGGCTTTAGCCGCTTATCTGCTTATCCGATAAGCTGATAAGCTGCTTAGCGACTTAGAAAAAGAGGGGGAAAAGGAAAAAAAAAAACCCAGGAACTCGCAAGACATTTTCGTCTTGCGAAGCAAGCCCATAGCAGATTCGTTTTGCGAGGCACCTCCAAAACGGAAAACTCTTTCGTCTAGCGAGTTTTCCGTCTTGTGAGGCATTCGTCTTGCGGGGCACCACTGTATCAGGCTTCATGAAAACAGGGCAGCCAGACCAAAATTCCTGGAGAGTGAAGCAGGGTCACTGAGGGGTGTGGCCTGGAGAGAGTTCTAAGGGCCAGACAGAGAGCACCGGAGGGCCGCTCTTGGCCCCAGGTCTGAGATTTCCCACCCCTGCTATGGATGTCTAGTGTAAACATTTCTACTCAGAAGCAAGTTCTGCTAAGTTCAATGGAGCTTCCTCTCAGGTAAGTGAGCATAGAAATGCAGCCTTGCATAGCCAGGTTTCCTCGCATTAAATGATGGACGTTAGGCCATAATCCTCTCCTAATTGCTGCTTCTATTTTTAATGCAGGGAAACCCAGCCATTTCCATCACATGCATGCTGTTAAATATTCACCACACTGAACATGCATTTCGCCACTCAAACATTTCGCCACTTCTACCTGGTTTAATCAGCAAAGTGTGAATCTGCTCTAATACTGCTGCAAGTGGGTTATGGCTGTGAAATGCTTGACATTTTTTGACAATGAAATCATGACAACTGATTTCTGAAATGGGATTCTAGACAGCTGTAAAAGTGGGAAGCCGGATATGGAAGGCTGGATATTTTTACAGAATGTCTTAAACAACAGCTGCAAAGTCATTGGTCTTACACGGGATCTAGGCCATATCCACACTCTTATACCACTTAAACAGCCATGGAAATTCCTGGGAACTGTAGTTTGTTGAGGATGCTGGCCCTTAAAAGCTATACTTCCCAGTATCCTTAACAAACTACAGTTCCCAGGAATCTTCACAGCTGTTTAAGTGGCATAAGAGCACTTTAAATGAATGGTGTGGATGTGACCATAGTCGTTTCGGAGAGAAGCCACACAGCCTGACACCGAAAAACCCTGTACAGTACAATTTCATCTGTCCATTTGGGAAACACAAGACAACCATTTACCAGGTGATACCTTACTACGCTGTGCAATCATACAGCCACTTTAGAAGACGGCATTTTCTAGCATCCACTGACACCCTCGTGCATGTTTTAATTACTCAGAGTAGCACTGTAATTGCCTGGTCGAGGACCAGCTCAGCTTTCCCCTTTCTACCATGCAGTCTGAAGTATGCCCTACCCACAATGGTGGATATTCTTCAATATGACAAGCTGATCCTCATAGAAAACAAGATCCCAAATATTTCACATGGATGACAGAATCACAGGTTTGCCACTTCAGTCAACTGAATTTGATTATAAGCCCTCCATTGATATGCAGCAGTCCTCAGCACTGTTGGCCTTGCATCCTTGCATGATTTGCATGAGAACCAGTGTGGTATAGTGGTTAGAGTGTTAGACTAAGACCTGGGAGACTAGGGTTCAAATCCTCAGTCTGCCATAAAGGTACTGACGTTTAAAGCCCTAAATGGCCTCAGCGCAGTATACCTGAAGGAGTGTCTCTACCCCCCACCGTCCAGCCCAGACACTGAGGTCTAGCTCCGAGGGCCTTCTGGCAGTTCCCTCACTGTGAGAAGTGAGGTTACTGGGAACCAGGCAGAGGGCCTTCTCGGTAGTGGCCCCTGCCCAGTAGAACTCCCTCCCATCAGATGTCAAGGAAATAAACAACTATCTGACTTTTAGAAGACATCAGAAGGCAGCCCTGTTTAGGGAAGTTTTTAATGTTTGATGTTTTAGCGTGTTTTTAATATGCTGTTGGGAGCCGCCCAGAGTAGTATTATTATTTATAAATTATTTATAATACTTTATAAATAATCATCAGCATAAGCATCATCATCATGGAGTGGCATTGAACCAGTCACTGCCTCCCAACCTAACCTACCTCACTAGGTTGTTGTGAGGATAACATGGGGAAGAGGAAGCCTATGTATCACCACCTTAAGCTCCTTGGAAGAAAGGTGGGATATAAATAAAATAAAGAAATAATAAATAAAAATCCTCTTGATCTGTGGAACACTAAAAGCATATTTGTGCCACACGTTTCTAGGAAGGATTACTATTATTATTTTAGTGAGTTTTTGCAACTTGATATTTATTCAGAAAATTTTAAAAATGTGACTAGATCATCACAAATGAGGTATGGTTGAATAGCATACTCTCTTTGACCCACTGAAATAGCATCCTACACTGTCTATGAATTGTGATAGCCCTACTAGGCATCTCCTTGATCATTTCCAGATGTTTAATCAGTTTACCAAGGCCAACTCCTGATTGGTTGGTTTGACCTCATCCAGGCTACTTGTGGCTGCTGGTCCACATTCTCTGTTACTCATGTGGACCATTAAAAATGCCCTAGGCATATTAGCCACCCAGTTAAAAGGATGTTCCATTCTGAACATTCATGGACAAGGCTGTATACTAGACAATATTACTGCACTTGTGTGCCTTGGGAAGGTTCATTCTTTCTGTGAAAAGCAACTAGCATAGACTTCAGCCCTGCCAAAAATGATATATGCATCATGAAATCTCAACATGAACTCCCTGAAACCTGGACAATATATACTGAAACTTTCCAAACAGCTCCAAAACTACAGTATCTCATATTATTTCTATGGATGATTTATAGTTTGGCTGTGAGAGTAGCTAGAAAATGACGGGAGTGGGGGTTGTGTTTGTAGAGAATTCTTTGGGTCAACCAAATGACTTACGTGACCCTGCAGCTTTTGCTCTCATTCTATTCCTCCCAAATAACCCTGCTCTGTGTTATTGTGCAAAGAGAGACATGTTATGCAAATTGATGATGATGATGACTTGAAGAGTAATTACCACATTTAGAATGCTGTAAAAACATTCTTTTGCTGGGCTGTCCTAGCCCACGCATTTGCTTGCAAACTAAGCAACGTTACAAAAATTAATAATAAAACAATAAATGGGGGTGGGGGTGGGGAAAGCAGACAGAGCCAGTCGGGCCACAAGCATTTTGCTTCCTGAGATGAAGGTCAAGATGGTCTCATAATCTATGAACAGGAGCCAACTTCACATCTAGTTTAGGCCTCACCTGCTCTATACACTTAAACCACCATGATAAACAGTCATGGCTTCTCCTAAAGAATCTTGAGAATTGCATTTTTGTTAATGGTGCTAAAGTGGTAACTGCTATTCCCTTCAAAGAGCTATAATTCCTAGAATGGTTTAAGAATCAGTCCCTCTTCCTAGGGAAGAAATCTGGGAATTGTGTATCTCTTTGAGGTGCCTAGAGGTCTCCCCAAAACTCTCATCATTCTTAGCAAACTACAGTTCCCATGATACTTTGGAGAAAACCACAATGGTTAAGGGAGCACCACAGTGCTTTAAATGTACAGTACAGGTGTGTCCTGAATCTTATTTGAATCACCTCAAGGCAGCAAGCTAACTTAGGAAGTGCAGGGCAAACTGCACCTTCTAATCTTGGAGGACAGAGCTCTGTCGTCCAATGCTGTTTCTACCTCCCCAGCATCTGCCGCCTGAGGCAGCTGCCTCACTCAGGCTAGTGGGTAGTTTGGACCAGAGGCAGGGACAATAAACATGGCTCCCCTCTCCATCAACCAAAGAGGCAGGCATGCCTTTTGGGTCCCTGTGGGGACAAGCCATTTTACAGAGTTGAAATAGCCAATTCAGACCGAAACTAACTGAAATCTTCAAGCTAGGTAAGGTCTCTGACAGTGAGGAATAGGTTCAGCAACCCGTTCCACTCTTAATCAGTGTAATGAAGCAACTCTTCAGGAATTATGTGTTTCTAAACCTGTTTTGGCTCTCATTGACTCAGTCCACAGCAAACCTTCATTAAGAAGGTTTATACAGATGGGCGAAGCTGCATTTCCCGTTTCTCACGAGGGAAGAAAACAATAACTTGTGATTTATGCCAGTGTTGTGGTGTGTCAGTTCTGTTCTTTCCCAAACTGCGTAATTAAAAAACAGTGTTTTCAGTCTTGAAGAATACTTACAATAAACAGTTTTGGTGGATACTAAATGACTCAGCTCCAGAGCTTAATCAACTGCAGAAGATGTGTATTGCTGCATATGCTTGAATGCTGCAAACATTATCTTTTATACGCTCACTTTTAACTGAGAAGAAATAAAATCAAAATAAGAACAAGTTAATGTCCTTCTTGGCTCGGCTAGAAGAAATTAAGGCAAGGGAGGGGAGATTGGTTTTAATGCAGCAGCAACAGTTGCAGGGCTTGCATCTATTATAGATTTTGGAAAGTTGTATTTTCACTATGCACTTGGGTGCCATTTTTAGTCAATATGGTGAATTGAACCTTCCAAAACTGCATTGATTTTGTTAACCAAATAGTGCATGATGGTTCCTAAGATCAAGGAGCAGGTTTATATCTGTGTTTGGCTATAATTGGATGCTATTTTGAATTGAGGTGGCAGACTGAACCTTTCAAAACTGCACTAGTTTTAACATGGCATCAATGGTTAATATTGGTCCAGCTTTGAAAGGTTCAGTCGACTACCTCAATTCAGAATTTTGAAAACTGCACTGATTTTTTTTCCTCTTTGAATTCCGGAGCAATGCCAAGTATGAGGCTAGTAGTATCAAATAAAACATTTAATGCTAGTGAGTTTCTCATCAACTGTGTGTGGAAAAGAGGCCATATGTCTCTTCTCCTTTAGTTGTATCAACCTAAGTGGACTCATTGAGATTGAGGGAAACAATTAATTCCAGACAGGTCTACCTTGAGTGGAACCTAGTTACATAAGAGCCCTTCAATCTCCAGTTTCTCTCTGAGATCTTCTGCCCCTACTTCTCCAAATGCTGCAGTCTCACGCAGTCATGTTTCCAGGGAACCTACCACCTGCTGTTCGCTGCTTTCTTTATCCTTAACTCTTGGTTGCTAGGCATGCAAATAAGTCTGAGATGAAAATCAGAATTGGTGTAGCAGTCACAGCTATCACAAAGTCACTGAGGGTTCACTAAAGCAGAAGAAAGCCATTATAATTCCCCTGTGCAGGTTCAATGGGAAATATCAAAATACAATATAGGAGACAGGCAATAGGACAGTGGTGCAAACATGGACCACATCTGCACTATTATACCACTATACCTCTATTAAAAGCACTATTATACCACTTTACACAGTCATGGCTTCTACCAAAGAATCCTGGGAACTGTAGTTTGTAAAGAGTGCTGAGAGTGAACAGCAAAGAACGTGCACAAGCAACGCTGACACCAAACCCTACATATATTAAGTAAAATAGAAACATTGTCACCCACACCCACCCCATCTTTCCCCCACCCCACCTCTTTTCCCCTTTTCTTCCTAATGTCTCAACAAATGAAACTGATTTGTAAAAATGTTGCATTGGGGGGGGGGAGGGAAATACGAGAGAGAGACATTGCACACAGTTTTGTAAATCAAGAAAATATTTAATAAAAATACATTTTTAAAAAAAAAAAGAGTGCTGAGAGTTGTAAGGAGACCCCTATTCTCCTCACAGAAGTACTATTTGCAAAGGAATCAGTTGTTAAACAACTTTGGGAATTGTAGCGGGGGGAAGTGGTTTTCTAACAAATTTCAGGACCCTTAACAAACTGAAGCTCCCATGATCCTTTGGGGGAAGTTATGACTGCTTAAAGTGGCATGATACTGCTTTAAACCCATGGCATGGTCTTTGATACTAGAGTGGGATGCAGCAGAACAGTCTCAGCCCCCAGAATTCAACTTGATACATGCAGTGCCATCATTTGCCAGCTCCCATTCATAGTGCTAAGTTTCCTGCAATGAATGAAGCAGGATTCATCTCCAGCTACTTCCAAACAAAAATGAAATAGAATCTAGTGTTCTTTGTCATTCAATAGAAATTT